AAGAGTTACTGTTGCAAGTGAGACCTATCTTTGACACCAGTGTGGTGAAATTGAGACCACAAGGGGCTGGTTTATGCAAATCCAGTGGCTGGGCATGCTCAGTAGAAAGGGATTATATAATCCTGGTAGCCAGGCATGCTCAATAAAGTGGAGTTTATCCTCTGAATGACCTTCCACTAGAGGTGCTAGAGAGGCCAGGATGTTCTTGAATATGTCTGGTGCATGTGATAGGATTTGGCCAATGGACATGCCCTAAAAGGAGGCCAACTGAGCATGTGCAAGACTATGTTACATAACAGGGAACCACCCCCTTAGTTGAATATTCATGAGATGTCATGAATATGCATTAGACAGCAAAAGTATAAAAGCTGAGTCCCAGCAGAAGGCAGCATTGTCGCTCACTTTCCTGGGCCCCACAAGCACTTCACCAGCTGAGGTGTGCATGCTTTACTTTTGTGTTGAGCTTACTTTCAGTAGGCGGCTGCTCACTCTCTTGAGCCAGCCTGCACTCTATACTAAACTTTAAATGTGTATTTCTTACTTTTGTACTGACCTTGGTATGGGCCCTGCTCAGTCTTTGGAGCTGGGCCACACTCTCTCTGTGAAATCTGTATCTTTTATTCATTATATTAAACCTGCTCTCATTTTCTACTGTGACTTTGCTCTTGAATTCTTTCCTGTGGTGGAGTCAAGAAACTGGTGAGAGGATGGAGTGCGTTGAGGCCAACTGTCAGGTCTCCTAGACCCTTCTTCTGGCATCATTAGTACCAGGGACATATGATGAAAAAAAACTGTCCCTTTCCACATGGAGTTTATTAGTCTAGTGAGAGAAACATACTTTAACTAAATAATCCCAGAAATACATAATTGTAAGTTGATCAGTGCTATGAAAATGACAGGGTTCCTAGTGGTAGAACCTAATCTAGTCTTGGGTTAGGGAAGACTTCCCTGAGAAAGTGCTGTCTGAGCTGAGATGTGAAAAGTAAGCAGGTGTTAGTGAGGTACAGAAAGGGAAGGAATGTTCCAAATGGAAGAACAGCATGTGCAAAGGCCCTGAGACAAGGGAAAGCCTGGAATTACAACTAAAAGAAACTCATCTGGCTGGAGCATGGTCCAGTCTTATAGGTCACATCAAGGAATTAATCTTTATCCTAAAAGTTATGGGAAGCCATTAAGAATTTAAGTAGGAGAGTAATGTGAGCAAATTTGTGTTTTCAAAAGGTCTGACTCTGAATGTTACATGGAGAGCAGCCTGAAGGGAACAAATCTGGTTGGAAAGGAGGCTATTGCAGTAATCCAGACAAGGGATGATGCGGCTAGGCCATGGTGGGGACGGGGGAATTGCAGACAGGTGGGAGGAAAAGTGAGCGACTGGACGGGGTGGGAAGAATAGAGGAGATGCGGTATCAGGGATGATGATGTTTCTGGTCTGTGCCACTGTGTGGACAGTGAGGTCATCTACTAAAACATGTGTCAGTAGTGAAGGCCAAGGTCTGAGAGTGGAGGAGGAATGAGGGAGAAGACTATGAATTCACTTTATGTTCAGCGAGGACCCTTTGAGACCCCCAAGCAGAGATATCAAGGATGCCATTGGTGTATTTAGCCATTAGAGAAATACAAATTAAAACCAAAATAAGATACCATTCTGTACTAGAATGGCTAAAATTTTAAAAGACTGACAAGTCTAAATGTTGGCCAAGATGCAGAACAAGCAGGGCTCTCTTACACTACTGGTGGACAGGTGAAATCGTACAACTGCTTTGGAAACAGGCAGTTTCTTCAAAAGTTAAACCTGTACTTACCATACAACCCAGCAATTGCACTCCTACATATTTACCTAAGAGAAGTAAGGAGATTTGTCCAAATACTTGCAAAATAAAGTTCACTGCAGCTTTATTTAGAGTAACCCTCAAACAGAAACAACCCAAATGTGCATCGATTGTGAACTGATGATCAAATTGCTGTGTACCCATATCATGGAGTACGGAAAGAAACAAACCACAGGTGCATGTAAAGACGTGATGAGGGAACGAAGTCAGATATCAAAGAGTATATACATATGATTCAATTTATATGACACTCTAGAACAGGCAAAACTAGTCTTTAGTGATAGAATTAAGATCGGTGGTTGCCCAGGGCAGAGATGGGAGTGGATTGACTACAAAGAGGGGGGGGGGGATTTTGGGGGGTGAAAGACCTGTTCTATATCTTGAATGTGGTGGTGGTTACATGACTGTATGCATTTGTCAAAACTCAGAACTGTACCCTAAAATGTGTGAATTTTACTGCCTGTAAATCATACCTCAATCTAAAACCATCTTTTAGGGTTGGCCAGTTAGTTCACTTGGTTAGAGCATGGTGCTGATAACACTGAGGTCAAGGGTTCAATCCCTCTTCTAACCAGCTGCCCAAAAAGAGAAAAAAAAAAGTGTTTTAAATTGAAGCCATGAGCTCTTGCTTCTTCTCACCATGTGATCTGCTTGTACCCACTGGCTGCCTGCCGCTTTCTGCCATGAGTAGAAGAAGCCTGAGGCCCATGCTAGATGCAGCTGTCCCAGAATCGTAAGCCAAATAAACCTCTGTTCTTTATAAATTACCCAGTCTCAGGTATTTCTGTTATAGCAACACAAATGGACTAATACAAAAAATTGGTACTGAGGAGTGGGGTGTTGCTATATAGTTACCTGAAAATATGGATGCAGCTTTGGAACTGGGTGTTAGGCAAAGGTTGGAGGAGTTTGGAGGACTTAGAAGAAGATAAAAAGATGAGATAATGTTTGGAACATTTTAGAGACTGGTTAAATGGTTGTAACCAGAATGTTGATAGAAATGTGGACAGTAAAGGCCATGCAGATGAGATATCTGTTAGAAATGAAGAATTTATCAGGAATTGGACAAAAGATCATCCTTGCTACACCATAGCAAGGAATTTGGCTGCATTATGTCCATGCCCTAGGATGTTGTGGAAGGTGGGACTTAAGAGTTGTGAGCCAGAATATTTGGCAGAAGAAATTTCTAAGCAGCAAAGCATTAAGGAAGCTGCATGGTTACTTTTAACAGCCTACTCTGAGTTATAGCGGCAAAGGCATGATGTAAAGCCAGAATTTAAAAGGGAAGCAGGGGCCGGCCCAGTGGCACACTGCTACAGTGCGCCGCTTGGGAGCGTGGCGGCGCTCCCGCCGAGGGTTCGGATCCCACATACAGACCGGTTCCCGCTCACTGGCTGAGCGAGGGGCGGGCGCAGCACCGAGGGTTGCGATCCCGTTGCTGGTCCTGGTCCGGTACGGGCGCGACACTGAGGATTGCGGTCCGTTGCCAACACGAAAAAAGACAAAAAGGAAAAAAAATAAAAATAAAAAAATAAAAGGGAAGCAGAGTGTAAAGATTTGGAAAATTTGCAGCCTGGCCATGTGGTAGAGAAGCGGAGAGGTGGGGGGAAAATGCAAGGGTGAAGCAGATAAGCTGGTTGTTAAAGACATTATCTTGGCAGTGAGGCAGCCAGATGCTAAGAGCGAAGACAATGAGAGAAAAGCCCTAAAGGCATTTGAGAAGTCTGGAAGGGTGCCCCACCCATCACAGGCCCTGAGGACTAAAAGGACTGGGTTGTCCCAGAGGACAGACCTGGGGCACAGCTGCCCTCAGGAACCTGCTCCCTGCACCCCAGCTGCTCTGGCTAGAACATCCCCAAGTGTGGTTTTTGCAGCAGCTCTGGACAGTAGAAGCCTGATACCTTGGTGGCATCCATGTTGCATTAAGTCTGCAGGCTGACGGGACATGAGAGCAGTGGAGGCGTGGCAACCTCCATCTAGATTGCAGAGGATGTATGGAAAAGCCTGGGAGCCCAGGCAGAGACCTGCAGCAGGGACAGAGCCACTGCAGAGGCCATCTACTAGAGCAATGCCAACAGGAATCTGGGGTCAGAACCCCCACAGTGAGCCCCCACCAGGAAAATTTCTAGTAGAGCCAAGGCAGCAGGGATGCTGCCAGGACCCCAGAACTGCAGGGCCACTGGCAATGTGCAACACAGACCTGGAAATGCCAGTGGGCTGCACCTGGCAGAGCTGTGGGAGTGAGGCTGCCTGATGCTTTTGAGGACCCAGATGCCCCGTTGTGCCCAGGATGCAGGACTTGGAATTAAAGAAGATTATTTTGGAGCTTTAAGACAGAATGTCTGCCCTGCTGGGTTTTGGACTTATTTGGGGCCTGTTTCTCCTTTCTCCTGACCTGTCCTCCCTTTTGGAATGGGAATGTGTACTCAGTGTCTGTTCCACCATTGTTTCTTAGAAGTAGATAAATTTGGCTTTGTTTTTCAGGTTCACAGCTGGAAGGACTTTTGCTTTTGATCTCAGATGAGACTTTGGACTTTTAAGATGATGCTGGAGCAAGCTAAGACTTTTTGGACTATTGAGATGGAATGATTGTATTTTGTATGTGAGAGTGACATGAGTTTTGAGGGACTAGGGGCAGAATGATGGAGTTCGGATGTGTTGTCCCCTCCAAAACTCATGTGGAAACTTGATCCCCAGTGTGGCAGTGTTGGAAACTGATTGAGTCGTGGGGGCGGATCCCTCATGAATGGATTAATGCTCTCCCTGGGGAGGGGGGATTAATGAGTGAGTTCTCCCTCTGTTAGTTCCCATGAGAACTTGTTGTTTAATAGACCCTGGCACCTTCTCTCTCTCTCTTGCTTCCTCTCACCATGTGATCTGCTTGTACCCGCCGGCTGCTGCCACTTTCCACCATGAGGAGAAGCAGCCTGAGGCCCGTGCCAGATGCAGCTGTCCCAGAATCGTGAGCCAAATAAACCTCTGTTCTTTATAAAAAATAAATAAATAAATAAATTGAAGCCATGGGTTTAGATGAGATTTACTAGGTGCAGAAGATAGAGAGGCAAGAGAAGAGAAGCTGTGGCCGCTAATCTTACCAACAAGTAAAAGGGGTTGTTATCGCATCTTACATGTGAGCAACATGAGGCTCAGAGAAGTGAGTGACTTCCCTACGATCACACAGCAAGTAAGTGGTAAAGCTGGCACTCAGACCCAGAGACAGCTCGTTATTAGGCCCGTGTTCCTCTTGCTCCTTCCGTGAACCAGGCCGGGGCCCATGGCTGAGCATGATGGCCAAGCAGGGAGGAGGCCCCGCTCCTCTCTGAGGAAGACAGGCAATGGCCTTGCAGCCTGGGCCTGCATCTGAGAAACCATGTGCTGTTCTTTGTACATGAAGACAATGCTCCTCACCTGTCACATTCTCTCCACCAGTGTTCAGGGGGACACCAGCAAGACAACAGGCCAGAGATGGGGATTCTGCCTGGGCCTGCCAGACACCCAGAGAGCCACTGTGAGAACTGCTTTGGAAGAAAAATTGTACCCTGCCCCGATCTGCCAGGGAGCTCAACACCGACGTAGCTCTTCATACTTTCCAACTCCAGAAGTATTCCCCCAGGACGTGACACTGCGAGCCCATCCCCAGCACTGGGCTCACTTGTTCCAGCCCAGCTGTCCTGATCCGATCTCTCCCTAGCACTTCACCCCATGATGGCCCACTCTGCCTCCCATCCCCGCGCCCTATAATCGCTCCCCACTCTGCTGCAAGAGGAGCTCCCCAGAGGACAGAAGCTTGCGTCCTGCCTTCCTCAAAAATTATTCAGTGCGGGGCCGGCCCGGTGGCGCACTGGAGAGTGCGCCACTTGGGAGCTCAGCGGCGCTCCCGCCGAGGGTTTGGATCCCATGTGGAGACCGGTTCCCGCTCACTGGCTGAGCACAGTGCGGGCACAACACCGAGGGTTGCGATCCCGTTGCCGGTCCCCGGTACGGGCGCAACACCAAGGGTTGCGATCCCATTACCGGTCAGTAAAAAAGACAAAAAGGAAAAAAAAATTATTCAGTGCAGTGCTTTGCAATACTCAGGCAGTAGCAGGTTATAAAAATCAGTGGACTGGGTCATTTAAAAATACGAAATAGCTCTCTTGCTCCGCCATCCACCATGTGACACCCTGAGTGACTGAATAGAGTCACCACCAAGAACAAGGCCCTCCCCAGATGTGTTCCCGAACTTCGGACTTACCAGCCTCTGGAACTGTAAGCAATAAACATTGTTTCTTTACAAATTAAAAAATACATATGTGAAATATAATAGAAAAAAATTAGAATGCATCACGTGTGATAAGGTTAAATATTGTCTCTTTGAACTTTCATTTCAGTGAGGTCTACTATGTGTGTATGTTTATTTATTTTTTGGTGGCTGGCTGGTACAGGGAACTGAAAACTTGAACTTGGTGTTACAAGGCCGTACTCTAACCAACTGAGCTAACTGGGCAGCCCTGTGTGTATATTTATGTGCTGACTAGAGGTGTAACGCGTAGTTCTTGCTGTGAATCACAATCGAATGAGTTGAAAGCCTAAAGAATGTTGCTGCGATGGGACATCGACTACCATTCTTGCATTCTTGCTTCCTGTTCTGGACATACGTACATACCACATCCTGCATCCTGGCCACACCAGAAAGCCCTCCCTGCCCCTCTTGTGCTTCTGTTCCTCTGCTCATGTCACTTCCTCAGTGTTCGTCCTCCCATTCCCCTCTGTGCCTGTGCAACTCTGTTTAACAACACACCTCTGAAAACCCTCAGCCTCCCCAGTCAGAGCTCATCCCACACTCCCCTGTTCCCATGGTGCATTTGTGATGGAGTTTGGATGTGTTGTCCCCTCCAAAACTCATGTGGAAATTTGATCTCCAATGTGGCAGCGCTGGAAAGCGATTGAGTCAAGGGGGCGGATCCCTCATGAATGGATTAATGCTCTCCCTGGGGGAGGGGGGAGTAATGAGTGAGTTCTTGCTCTATTAGTTCCCACGAGAGCTGGTTGTTTATAGGACCCTAGCACCACCTCTCTCTCTCTCTCTTGCTTCCTCTCTTGCTTCTCTCACTTGCTTCCTGTTGCCATGTGATCTGCTTGTACCCACCAGCTCCCTGCCACTTTCCACCATGAGTAGAAGCAGCCCGAGGCTCGTGCCAGATGCAGCTGTTCCAGAATCATAAGCCAAATAAACCTCTTTTCCTTATAAATTACCCAGTCTCAGGTATTTCTGTTAGAGCAACACAAAACAGACTAAAACAATTTGCATACACCTCCCTTAGCATTTTTCATTCTGCTCGAATAAAGGTTAATTCAAATGTCAGTTTCTTCCAGCTGCCTTGAGTGTTGGGCATACACCTGATCCATCTTTGTTTTCCTCTGCAGCTAACACAGTGCCTGGCACACTGGAATCACTAAGAAAGTGCTTTTTTCTCTCTCTCTCTTTCTCTTTAGGTGAGTCAAGTGAAGCACTGGGAGTGAAGAAGGAACAGAGAAATCTGTAACTGGTTGTGATCAATTAGTTGTAAACACCATTGCACTTGGAACTGCCAATAAAGTGCTTCTTTGATTGAATGAATCCTCCAATGTTGGATTTATTATTTTGATTTTGCACATAAAGAAAGTGAGGCTCAGAGAAGTTAGGTGACTTTCCCAAGGTCACACAGCTAGCTTAGGAGTGGAACAGGGGAACAGAGAAGGTGAACTGATTTCCCCACATTGCAGTCCTGACCTCTGAATGTGCCCTGGCCTGAGGACTGTGGAGCCACATATAGACGCCCCCATCACCGGCCTGGCCAGAGAGAGGTCTGAGCAAAGGGCTCCCTCGTGCCCAGGCATCACTTCAGTCCAGCACAGATGCAAGCCCAGCCAGTGCTGGGTGTGTGTGGAGGTGCGCCATCCTGACAGCCTGGGCTTGGAGGAGAGCCTGAGAAAGACAGGAGGAAGGGAGTGGCAGGAACGACAACAGGGTGGTGAAGACACAGAAACCGAGGACGAAACGAACACTGGAAGGGACTGAGGAACCCAGAGAGATAACACAAAGAAAGGGAGAGAGGAAACGAGAAGGAAGGATGGAGGTGGCTTGCAATTTTTAAAAGGGTGGCCAGGGAAGACCTCACTGAGATGGCAAAATGTAATCAAAAATCTGAAGGCAGCAAAGGAGTGAGACACATTGCAGAAACAGGGAACATCGAGAGCAGGGGCTGGGGCCATGCTGCCTGCTGGCTGCAAAAACCATAGAGGGCCAGGGTGGCTAAATGCAGGGAGTCAGGCCAAGCATCAGGAGCTGCAGTCGAGGAGTTGGGGGTGAGGCTCAGACTGTGAAGGGCCTTGTAGGCTGTATTACTTCTCTATTGCTGTGTGACAAATTCCCACAACCCCAGAAGCTTCAAACTGTCTCACAGTTTCTGCAGTCAGGAGTCTGGGCACAGCTTGGCTGGGTCCTGTGTAAGGCTGCAATCAAGGTGTCAGCCACAGCTGGGTTCTCATCTAGGGTTCCACTAGGGAAGGGTCTGCTTCCAAGCTCACATGGCAGCATTCAGTTCCATGCAAGCTTCTGAATGGAAGGCCTCAGTTTCTTGTTGAATGTCGATTGGAGGTGGCTCTCAGCTCCTTGCTGCACGGCCCTCTCCATATGGAGCTTGCAACATGGTGGCTTCCTTCTTCAAAGGCAGCAAGGGAGGGAGACCCCTAGCAAGACAGGTGTTATGATCTTATATACATAGCCCTGTACATGTCATCACATGTATACTGTCACCTTTTCTGTACTTTACTGGTTATAAGCAAGTCACAGCTTGGCCTATACCTGAGGGAAGGGGATTATTCAAAGATGTGAATACCAGAAGGTGAGGATCATGGGGGGGTCACCTTACAGTCTGTCACCACAGTCTGCCCTCTGTTTCCCCAATGACTCATGTCCATTGTGCATGCAAAATACATTCACCCCCTCCAAAGATCTCCTAAAGCTCAAGGTCCAGAATCTCACCTAAATCAGGTTTAAGCATAGATGAGTATCCTCTGAGTGTTCCTTTTGACCTATAAAATTAAACACACAAGGTTTCTCCCCCTACACACACAACATTCAATGGTGGGAGAACAGCAATAGACATTCCTGTTCAGACAGGGGGATTAGGGGAAGTACAAAGGAACCACTGGTCCATAGCAATTCTGAAATCCAGCTGGGCAGATGTTGGGTGTTCCCTGATTAGGTTTTAAGATCTGAGAGTAATTCCATGCTATGAGTGGCTCTGCCTTCTGGGCTTCTGCCCTCCGGGTCATCCTTCTCTTTTCATGAAAGGTAGCATGTGTTTGCAGCTGAGTAGTTTTATCAGCCTTCTTCTTGCCAGTAGAGTTTTGGGGATCTGATAGCCTTTTTTCATTTTGTACTCTCTCTCTGTGCCTTGTAGTCCAAGCTGGCTGTGCTCTTGCCAAAACAGCTTTCTCAAACATTTTATGTGTTTTCTGTGGATTTCAGTGCGGTTCACTCCATCAGGCAAAAGCTGCACCCACAAATCTTTCTGAGATAAGCCCTTCTCTATCCAGCTCCTGCAAGATGGCCCAGAGATAGCCTACTTAAGCTTCCTAGAGGCTCTATGGTTTGATTAGGAGGTTCTGTGTGGCACACCCTCAATCTCTTGAAACAGGCCTTTGTGCAACTCAGTACTACTCTGATACTTTGTCTTTACACAGTTTTAACAAAAGATTGTATAGCCATACCCTCTGCTTTTTCTCTGGACCAGAGCTTATCTCTATACCCTGTGCTCAGAAGCCATTTCTTAATTTTAGCATATTTTGCCATGTAAGGAGGCTGAGAATTTTCAAAATCATCAAGTCCTGTTTTAACAGGTTTTTTTTAACCAATTTTCCCCTCAATTTATCTCTCTCTGCTCACATTTTACTATAAGCAACAAGAAGAAACCAGGCAGCACCTTAAACATTTTGCTTGGAAATCTCCTCAGCTATGTAACCAATTATCACTTACATGATCTGTTTTCCACTCAGCTGCAGGAGACCATTTTTCTATGCTTCCTGCTGCTACCTAGCAAGGATCCCCTTTCTCCAGCTTCTATTAATGAAACCCTCACTCCTTTTGAGCCCTTTCTGGCAAGTCCTCCAAGTCCAGATTTCTACCAACAGTCTGCTCAAGGCAAGCTATGCTTTCCCTATTGTGCTCCTTAAAATTCTTCCAGCCTCTGCCTACTGCACAGTTCCAAAGCCACTTCTACAATTTTAGTAATTTGTTAAGGCAGCACCCCACTTCCAGTA